TATGTATGTATGTATGTATGTATGTATGTATGTATGTATGTATGTATATACGTATGTATGTAACTAACGTATGCATGTATGTATGTATGTGTGTATGTATGTATGTCTGTCTGTATGTATGTATGTATGGTTTGTATGGTGTGTATGGTTTGTATGGTGTGTATGTATGGTTTGTATTTTATGTTATGTATGTAAGGTATGTAATTATGTAATGTCTGTAATGTATGTTGTAACGTATGTAATCTGTGTATGGTACGGTATGGTATGGTCGGTATGTATGCATGTTTGTTTGTTTTGTGCGCTCTCTCTCTCTCTCTCTCTCTTTGCAGCGTCTGGCTACAACGCAGCCGTCCCACAGGGACGGTGTTTGTATTGCGCTGTGCTGCATTGTGTTATATTACTGTATGTGATGTAAGACCCAGGGAAAATTCTTCTCAAATGCATCATGCTACTGAGCATCTGAGCTGAGCATGTCCGGACGGCCTTGCCCTCCCATGGGCTCGCTATTACAGACGCTGTCTCCCTTGCCACTAACTGAGATTTGGGCCTCACAAAACATCGCCCGGCGCTCGCCATGTTCAGAAATGTTCAGGCTGCGTACACTGCAAGCAGTGGAAACCAATCGGCAACTTTGTGTAAAGACATGGAAAGTCAGGATGGTGGAAGCAAGGCCTTCAGCTTGCAACAAATCTGAACATGTTGTATTTATTCTTGGCCTTGGAGGAATGCTTAGCGATTTGACATTCGATGACATTCATGGCTCTGTCTAAGGTCCAGGTCACATACATCCAACAAACAAGATTTGAATGATCTATATAAATCTGCATCCGACATGTTGCATCACGTATATAGCTCCTGTTCTCACACACCAGCAAACACAACATCGATGCCTTTTGCAATGTGAGAGATCTCTAGAAATCGGCATGGCTCTGATGAGCCACGAAGCAAGAACAGGCCCTTGGCATTCAACTGGACTGCGTCCATCGAATGCCCGATTCCTGTTCCTTGCCCTGACCCAATGCAACAGGTGCTAAAAGTAACAATGTCTTCCCGCAAATGCTCTGGCGGTAAGTCATTAACGGGCCTTGCGGCCATAATTAAAAGGCTCCCGCCAAGTGGAACACAAAGAGAATGCAACACAAAGAGGGCACACCCTAAAGCACGCCTCGTGCACCCTGTATATATAATTAGCTTTAGGATGTGGATCAAATCAAGCCAACAAAAAACATAGCCATGATATAATATGATATAATTTAGATAACAAATGATGCACACTTGATACTGCTGTTCCATCATACTAAGACCACTGACCACTTGGCAGGCTGATTGATTCCCGGTGCACTACGTGCACACTGCCGAATATGTTATAATACATGTGAAACATCAAGCAAAACCGCAAAAGCTCGGCTGGCACTGCCATATCAGTGTCAGGCCGTCAGCTTTCAAGGCTTCGATGGCAGTAGCAACGATTGCGGGTAGGAAGCATAGGATTGGGTGGGCAATTTCGGCCAAGAAGTCGGTGCAAGTTCCTTCAACTTTGAATGCCCGAATTTTCTGTTGCACATGTCAGAAATCCAACTGAATGCTAAAACAAGTGGAGACCAGGGAAGGTGAGAAGGGAATACTAAACAGGCAGTTCATGGCGTTTCGGCTCGTGGGGTCCTTCGTGGAGGACTTGCCCTTGGACATTTGCTCCTGGTGTACCTGCCACAAAAGCAACCAAGTACTTTGGTGGCCAGATTCCCGGGCATAGTCTAAGGCGCTCTTGCCAGTGTCATCTGCCTCAAGCAGCCAAAGGGAAAGTGAGCAATTGATAGCAATGGAAATCTACGAACGTCGATTCAGAAGTACCCTCTGCCAGCAGCCTTTGGCACGATTCGCCTGAATTCTATTCTATTGAATACTATGTGTCGCCTCCCAAGTTCGGGTTCCAAAAAGTTCTCGCCGGGGCGGGAGCTGCGAATGACTGTGTGGATGTTCAAGGCACGCATCCTATCACAGGAAGCCAGAAGCCCGACCTGTTTTTTCGTGTTTTCTTCTATATGGATGTATTCTCAGTGTGCTTCAGCAAAAAGAGTCACGGCATCATTGAAACAACATCATCATACTGCGAAACGAAAACCTCCCCAACCCAACTCCTCCTCCCACCCCCTGCACATGCGGAAGCATCTGGTTTCAGCAGCTTGATGCATGCAGCAAATCATTTTTGTCTATTACAGTATATACATGATTCAGCTATGGCTATGTCCGCAAAAGGTGACCACCATTGTAGACAATTCCAATACTCTAAATAATATGTAATTTACAATAACTGCAACATGCGAGAATGATGGTGCACACGAATCCTATATTATATATCCTCCTGTCCTATCAAGTACAAACGGTTTGCACTCACGACTACGCGTTCGGTGTTCACACTGTTGGCAAAAACGTGCCCATGGCAAATGACTTCACATCACGCTTCATTGCGTCCATGGCGCTTGCGCTGGATCTGCATTGTCTCGCAGCAATCGAGCGCACAGGACTTGTCGACCCTCAGCAGCTGCCCAATGGAGAGCAGTCCAGTCATTTTGCCCGCCGTGCATCGCCTTCGTGCCCGTCGTTCGATGTGCTTCTTTTTATTGAGGGCGGGTAGGCCGCTAGTAGAGGTAGGTAGCTAGTAGGGAGAGGTAGCTAGTACCTGCACAAGTAAGCTACTAGTATGGATGCAGGATAGCTCACGCTTCTTCAAGGAAGCTACCCAGCTTCCTTGAAGGAGTGCTCGCACTATTAAATTCATTGGGTTCCTAGATTTTTAGGAAAACTAACTATCAGGAAAATGTAATCGAAGTCGACGACGACTAAATACAACTAATGACCTAGTGACTAAGGCAAATGTGGACTTCGGCTGAAAACCCTTTGCGGCACCTGGTTGGTAACAATAGTATACAGTAATATCAATGAATTGAAATTACTTACTGTAATAGCATCTTATAGCCCCAGTTGTCTGACAATCGCTTCTTCCCTTGAAGAACAATACGCAGGAACCGCTGTGAGTTCTGTCTGCTGCAAAGTGCAGGGAGGGGCCCATCCACATTGACGTGGACAATCCTCAATGCGAGGGACAACAATTATGTAGATCACCTTGTCCTTGCAAACGCCCCCTGGGCCCCCCTAATGCGTTTTAACATGTTCCTCAACTTAAATGATATTGCATGAGACACCCCCACACAAGAACAAAGGTTTGAAGCCATTAAGAACACAAAACGGGAGCCGCCGTTTGCTAGTGGCACTCCCAGCATGTATTGGGAATAGAATAGGGTCAGTGTTTTACACATACCATTGCTATCATCTGTTTACGCAAACTTGTATAGCATTTGGGCCGCTCTTGGGCTTGCACCTGAGAGGTGAGAAGTGCATTTTTGGGGTACAGTATCCCAGCACCCATTCGGAGCAGCCTGCAAAAGCGAGCGAACAACATCAACGTATACAAATACAGCAAAAACACTGCTTTGTAGGCGGGCCGGTTTCTGTAATCTCCACCTCCAAGAAACTTCTACAACCTTGAGGTGATCTGTTTGTAAACGATTCAGGGTAGTGACACTGGCTCTTGCAAACAAAGCCCGGACACAACGTGCAAGCACTACTACGCTAGAAGTAGAACTAGAACACATTATGCAATTTGTATCAAAAGCACCCAGACCCAGCACCCTGAAGTTCTGAAGGAAAACGAAACCAGCTGACTAGTTCAAACCTGATAGAACCCACGAACCCGAATGCAGTCACTTTGTAAAGAAGCGTAGCACTCAAAGCGTTCTTGTTTGGACACTCTTGCTGGACACCCTTGCTTCACACTCTTGCTGGACACTCTTGACACGACACTCTTGCTTGACACTCTTTCTTGACACTCTTTGCTAGACAATCTTTCTTGATACTTTCTCTTGACACTCTTTGCTAGACACTCTTGCTGGACACTCTTGAAATGACATTCTGCTAGACACTCTTGCTAGACACTCTTTCTTGACACTCTTTGCTAGACATTTTGCTAGACACTCTTGCTTGACACTCTTGCTGGGCACTCTTTGCTAGGCACTCTTGCTGGACACTCTTCCAGGACACTCTGCTAGACACTCTTGCTGGACATAAGCTTGCAAAACCAACATTTCCCACGAGACTTTCACCAAAAGTGACAATCCAAGCTTCCAAAACGAGCATTTTCCACGAGACTTTCACCACAGGTGACAAGCAAAGCTTCCAAAATGAGCATTTTCCACGAGACTTTCACCAAGAGTGACATGCAAAGCTTCCAAAATCACAGCAACGTTCACCTCTACCACAACTCTCACAACCTCACGATTCCCTGCGCCTGCCACGAATCTTTCCGCGTCCACACGTCTGACGCGCACAAAGTACTGCGCCTGCCACGAAATGTCACCTCCGTCACACATCGCAACCTCACGATTCCCTGCGCCTGCCACGAAAATCGCACTTCCACATCTAAAAAAACCCGCACAAAGTACTGCGCCTGCCACGAAAAGTGACAATATCATCTCATGTGAGCTTCAAAAAAATTGCACCACACCACACGTTTAGAATGATTTCGACCCGTTCTGAGCACCCGCGCATCCACCAAAATCGCCATTTCAGCTGAGACTTGTCACGAAAACAGAGCTTCGATACCACACCCTGAAACGCAAATCTCAATGGCGCGGCTGCATCCAACACCCCAAAAACACGACTCTCCAAACGCTAATCCCTTTGGAATACCCACGCAAACGTGTCACTTTCACGAAACCCTGCGCCTGTGCAGCGAAATGCCTCACGTTTCTTGCGCGACATGTCACTTTCATGCAAATCACAATGTAATAGCGGCGCGAACTGACGCGTGACAGATCCATGAAAAGTCACTTGCAAAAGCTTCCCCCAATGGCAGGGCCATAGAGACATCATACGGACGGTTGCAAACGGTTGCGAACTCGAAAACAACGTCGGGCAAACGCAACTCTACCCTCAGACTCCCAAGTTAAACAAGAACCCTTCGCTACGCATTCGGGAAAAAAACGTCTTGTGTTGCAAACATCCAGTCCTGCCATCCGTAGTTCTCTACCGCTTCCACACTCGCCGCAATCACTGGTGGAATTGGGGGCAATCCTTGCTTCTCCTGCGCCGAAATGTCACAAATATCAATTTAGCGCTACAATGGCATCACGTGCTCACCATCACCTTTGCCTTCAGAAGCTGGTCAGCCTTTTCCGTGCATGCGCATAGAAGCTCCAACACCTTCAAGCGCAAACTCAGGGAACAAAGGCTTTTGGGCCTGTTGACATGCAAGTGAAATCGCACAGGGATCTGCGTATCATGGCGACTTGTATCAAATGTTGCACGTCTGAAAAGAATGCATATCATACCCCGGGCCTCATTCTCACCAGCTTGCTCAGCGCAGAATATGGGAGTCCAGCCGCGCTCGTCCTGAAAGGATACAGATTGGAAAGTCCCGATGTCGGGAAAATGCCGTAAAATGACTACTAGATGACTTGACTTCAAAGGAGACTCACTCACAGTCCCGCAGAGCCTCACACAAAGGGTTGGCACCAGCAGCTACCAGTCGGCGACAAACGTCCAAACGACCTGACGGATTGCTTGCCTTGGATTTCATGTGCAACATTGGGCTCTTTTCGAGGTCTCATGTCCATGTGACAGGACAAATTTCAATACAAACTCGCCCCACGCCAAAAAAACAAAAACAAAACAAAAACACTCCCAGCTCCATCCTCCTTGACTACACTACAATTAATCTGCTGAGAAAGGCAAGGGGCGTCGGGGGTCAGGTTTAACTTTCGAGGCTGACAGCGTGGGCGGAATGTTGGGTGAGCTCTGTAGGTGCGGGAGGGCGATCAAAGCAGGGAGCGTCGCAAGCGACGAGTGCAGGTCTTTGGCGCTTTTCCAATTGGTTTCTCGATTGTTCCCCAAACCGTTGTTAAGGCCGGGGGTCTGATCGGAGGATCGCGCACCCGCGTTCAGCTCTAATTCGCTGCAATTTACAATGCGTTCATTTACCTCGAGATAATCTTCGAAGTGCATTTCGACTGCGTAAATTCGCAGAAATTGGTGGGCCCGCGCTCTTCTCGACTGTGCTCTTGCTGTGGCGCCGCGCCATTTTCGGATTTGGTGGCCACTTTTCGTGGCAGGCGCAAAGGAAACCTCGCGCAGCGCTGAGGAGTTTGAAGTGCAGATTTCGTGGCCCCTCACCATGCGGACCTTGAGGGCAGATTTCGTGGCAAGCGCAGCACTTTACCTTGAAGTGCAGCTGTCGCGGCTGGGGCAGCCCTTCGGCCTTGAAGTGAAGATCTTGCGGCGGGTGGTGTGAACCTTAAAGCGTAAGATTCCGTGGCGCTTTGTGAACCTTGGAGTGTAGATTTCGCTGGAGGCAACAATGCAGACCCAGACCCAGACCCCAACCCCACCCAACCCCACCCAACCCCACCCAACCCCACCCACCCACCACCAGCCACCACCAGCCACCACCACCACCAGCCACCAGCCACCAGCACCAGCACCACCGCCGCCGCCGCCGCCGCCACCGCCACCGCCACCGCCACCCCCACCACCACCGCCACCTCTCAATGAAGCCCAATATGTATCAATATGTGTTTTGTGTGGGATATGTAGGGCTTGCGACGTTTGACGTTTGCGGACGCTGTTTTTGCCAGGTGAGCGGTGGTCAAAACCCTTTGGTCTTGGCCTTGTTTTTTGTTTGCTTACGCGTCGGCTTCCGCCATTGTTACGCCTACCAATGTTTTCGCTTACCCGCTGATGTTTTTCTGTTAGGTCCTATACGGGTTTCTTATGCGGCGCCTTACGCTTTACCACCAGAGCGGTTGAAGCACTCTTGTTTGGCACTTTGAACTCTTGTATGGTTCACTGGGTGGAGCCCACTGCTTCTTATCAGCAATGGGACCAAGCAGGTGGAGCGAGGGCGACGCTACGTGCTTGAAAATTGCTTTTCCCACGCAGCTGCTTGCCTGCTTTGCTTCTTTAGAAGAACTTTGGTGGACAAAAGAAGAACAAGGGCTTAGGACCCCAACCCTTTTCTGCTCGCAGTGTTTCTCAGCAACAACCTATACAGAATAGATCAGAATAGATTGGCCGCGTAACTATAGCTCAAAAATTGCTTGCGCGCCTCTTACGCATCGAGCGTCCTGAGTCCAAACCTTGGCTTCCACCAAATCTTACGCGACTCTTGCGCCGTGCAGGCTTTAGCTTTAGCTTACACAACAGCTTTGCAGTTTAATCGGGCCACGTGGTTCTTTCATAGAAGTTTTGAACGCTGCTCAGGTTTCTGCTCGGGACATGCTTTCGATAAGGGGTCCTCAGTTCTTAAAGTGAGAAATCAATTCAAAGGACGCGCACCCTGGGGCATCTTCTTCAAGAGATGGGCCCTGTCCTTTTCCCTCTCAACAACTCCAGGTCCATGCTCTGCGCTGCTTTTCGCTGTGAATGTTCTGCTGGAAGCACGAAACATGTCACAAAATTAGCGCGTTCAGCGTTCCTTGGTTTTACTATGTTTTACTATATATTCGCATCGCGGCCTCTGTGGGCTTTGGGGCAAGTTGCGTTCTAGGGCCACTTTAGGCGCCCGGGATCTATAATAAGGCGCAGATTGCATAAAGTGGTGCATTGCTGCAAAGATGCTGCCAGCGCAGCTGACCACTGGGGTGAGCACGGGGCAGAGGCAACATGTCAGATGTGCATGTAGCATGTGAAAAGGTTTTCTGAAGCTTTCAGCCGACAGTGTAAATAACAAGGGCGCATTCCAGGTGTGTAAGTAGCATAGAAGCCATATGAAGCCATGCAGCGTGCCGCAGATGCTTACTTGGCAGCCTTCGATGGAATCGATGGGGAGCGCGCAGGCCACATCTCACAGACTGGTTGGTGCTGGGCGCAGGTGGCAGGTGGTGTGTAGCGCCGTGCTCTGTTCACCGCTCGTTGCAGGTTGGACATAGACAACCCCCTTCTCGATTGCGCAACCGTACGCGAGGCCATAGGATGCATTCAGAATTGGAACAACCTGCAAGGCAAGGGCTGTCTTACTTTCTTCTTATTCACCGTTAAAATACATGATTCATGATGGCTTCTTAATAAATGAATGGTGAGTGGATGATAGAACAATAGAGAAGAAAACAAACAAATAACTCATACAATAATACATATTGTTCAAATTGTGCTCTTATTATGATGAATTTTTGTGAATCTATATATCTCTGTATCGTCTTAATGACAAAGTGATAAGTGTTAACACCCAGAAAACCTGAGACTGAAAAAGAGTTCTTGTATATGACCAATAAAGCTAATCAGGATGGGTGTGTATTTTGCTCATTTTTGTTTGGCGCCTCGGAACAGTTTTATCTGTGAATGGGCTGAGCCCTATGAATTGTGCATGGTGGGCGCCGTTGGAGGCCCGACCCGGCCTTTCGAAGCGCTGACCTTGCCGCCGTTTGATATTTTGCGGGGGTACATACCCGGGCGTGTTCAAATGAATAGCTGGTGCATCCCCGTAAGAATTTTATCCATAAAATCTGTCCGCCCAGGCTCCTGCGTAAAAGGGCTCTATGAACAACATGGCTTTGTTGAAGATACTCCCTCCAAAAGTCGAAGTGTCAATTTATGGACAGTATTTTCCCCACCCGTAGGACTGTGGGGTTGTTAGATTTTTAGAACTTTGGACTTCAGTACGCCCGGTAGCCCAACTTAGCTCTTCCGCAGCACACTGGCCAAAGTGACCCCTGAGTAGCGCAACTAGCTCTTCCACAGCACACTGGCCAAAGTGATCCCTGAGTAGCGCAACTTAACTCTTCCACAGCACACTGGCCAAAGTGATCCCTGAGTAGCGCAACTTAGTTCTTCCACAGCACACTGGCCAAAG